AAAGAAGAGAAGGACAGAGAGGGATTAGGGAGGACTTGAAAGGTGCTCAGTGGTGACAGAAGTAAACCAACCCCGCCTCCTTTCCGACCACTGGGTCTGGGTGAGTGGGTCAAGATGAGGCCTCCATAGGAGAGTGCTGCGGGGGAGACAGAATCTGCTGCTTGGAGCCAGGTTTCGGTGAGTGCTAGAAGGTTAAGGGAGCAGGAGACAAAGAGGTCATGGATAGAGGTGAGCTTATTGCAGACCGAGCAGGCGTTCCAGAGTGCACATGAAAATAGGAGGGTAATTTTGGGGAGCAAGGGGACAGATATTAGATTGAGGGGATTGCGGTAAATCCCGGAAGAAAGAGGATGTCTTGTGTGCGGGGGAAGTAGTGGAGGAGCAGGGTTCGGGGAGATATCCCCAGAGGTTAGGAGGAGAAGAAGGGTGAGGAAGGTGGCATGTGAGCGGGATGTATACGAGCGCGTATGCCTTCCAGTCCTGGTGTTAGGGTCAGTGAAGTATCAGCAGGAGGTGATGAGAGCAGTAGTAGGGAGATGAAAGCACTGAGGGTGAGATGTACAAGTTTTTGGGTGGAACAGAGGGACAGAGAAGTGAGGTTTTAATAACAACTACCTTAATTGTATCCTTCAAGACTTGTACAGAAAAAATTGTAAATATAATTGGCTGCTTACAAAAATAACAAAATGTAATAAATTATGAAAGCTATGAAGTACAACACATGAAAACCGGTGTATGCAATCCAAAATACTGTATCTTAACAATTTGAGTTCCAGACAACCACGTATAGTCACCCATGAATATACTATATAAACCATCCTTTCTCAACAGGGGTGCCACGGAATCCTGGTTGAAAAAGGCTGTCAGATCCGACCGAACTCCCGCTCCGCTGAACATCAGCACAGCATGAGCTCTGTTGGTACAGTGCAGTGAAGAGCAGTGGCAGGGGAAGGAGGCTTTCTGAATCCTGTGCTCTCCACCTCCCCCCAGAAGACAATACCGCCAAGCACCGCCCACAGCCGTGTGGATTGTAATAGAAGAACGGTCCTGTCCTGAGGCTCTGGTGGGAGGAAAGCATGGTGCAGAGATCAAAAGGGAGGGTGGGAGTTGGCTTGCAGAGGTTAGCAGAGAATAAGGGGTACAGAGGTGATCAGAGAGGGGGCTTTGGTGTACCAAGGTGATCAAAGAGGGGCTTTAGGGTACAGAAGTGAGCGGAGAGGGGGTATGGGGTACATAAACGAGCAGAGATGGGGTGTGGAAGTGTGTAGAGAGGGGGTTTGGAGTACAGATGTGAGCAAACAGAGGGATTTGGGGTACAGATGTGAGCAGAGGGGGGTTTAGGGTGAAGAGCTGAGAAAAGAGGGGGTTTGGGGTTCATAGGTGAGCAAAGGGGGGGTTTGGAGTGTGGAGGTGAGTTTGGGGTAAAGAAGAGATCAGAGAGGGGGGTTGCGGTGTAGAGGTGAGCAAAAGGGTTTGGGGAGGCAGAGATTAGCAGGGGTATTGGGGTCCAAAGGTGAGCAGAGTGGGATTGGGGTGCAGAGATTAGCAGAGAGGGGAACATGCAGTGTGATTTTGCAGTCTATTCATTTGAATGGGCTGCAAAAAGCACTGGAATGCAGAAAAAGTAGTACATGCACTACTTTTAAAATATGCACCACACCAGACTGTATGGTACTGTGGTACCATGCAATTTGGTTCCTTCAAACACACACTGCACATTGCTCTACAAAATGCACTGTGTTTGCTAATGCATGGAGGTACCATTAAAAATTAAGGACACCCTTGTGTGTCTGATATATATATATATATATATATATATATACACACACACACACACACACACACACACACACACATACATACACTCACATATACCATAGTCTGTAGACTTTATAACTTTCACACAGACTAAATAATATACACCGATATGGGTATTTTTACCAAAGAAATGTAGTAAAATACATTTTGGCCTAAATTTATGAAAGAAAAATTATTTGTAAAATTTTAAAACAATTTTATTTTTTTTAATTGCGCTTCAAAGCCTCCCTCGACCCAGGAGGCTGTCCGTTGCCGCGACGCAATGGTATTTTTTCATTTATATAGCATGATAAAAATTTAATTTGGGTACAGTGTTTCATGGCTGAGCAAATGCCAGTTAAAGCAGAACAGTGCTGAATAGTAAAAGTGCCCTGCCCTGGTAATGAAGGGGGTAAAACCTTGTGGAGCTCCAGTGATTAATAAAAGACAATTGACAACTTGTGACCATGTAAGTTGCCAACTGTCTTTTATTAATAAAGTACATGAATGCTGCACTTAGGTGGTGTCCCCTTGTGCTTTTATTACAGAAAGCTCCCTGTCTCCTTGTGGAGCAGCCTCCCATGCAGCAAAGTTTTTGATGGACTCTCTTGATTTATCAGAATTGAATTTTATGGTCTATTTATTTTATATCATTGCCCTGGGAACTTTGGGTTTACTGGTGTCCTGTTTTGTGCCATATTCTGCTTTATTTGTTCAATGATGATGGAAGCAAGACTGGGTTATTCCTGGATGCTCCAATATAAAGGAAACCCATCCATGTATGCATGAATGATCTCAAGAAATAAAATTAACATAGAAGATAGTTGAAATCAAATCAGTATATTGTACCCCCTGATTGCCAAGCAACACAATTGTAAAACTATAGGATTTTTTATTGCATCATGCAGGAAAATAAGTGGATGCTGAATATAGAGCAAGTCTCAAATATATTAAAACACCACAACTTGCCAGGGTCTAGCACAACTTATCACTGCTAAGAAAATATCTACAACTAAAGTGGTCTAAAATGCCAACAAGAAAAAAATGCAAAGGCTACAAGCTCAAAGAAATCCATTTTACCAGCTCAACTGCTAAGCTAGCCATAGAAGACAGCTGGATAATAAAGACACAGGCTAATAGACTAATTGAGGTCAATTGTTGAATCAGATTATTCTTAAGCATTAATAGACCTTTTTGTGTTGAAATAAAAGCCTGAGACAGAAATATCCTGTAAAACACAGTACTATGCTTCCTTTAAATACCATCTCCACTAAAAACGTATATCTGGGACTTTCAGTAGATAGCAGTAAACTGAAAAAAAATCTGGTGCATCTTCTACATAAAACCAATCAACTTCCAGTTTTTTTGTCAAAGCCTAACTGAACAATCTGAAGTTAGAAGCCAATTAGCTACCATGCTCAGCTGCACTAGAATTTGAACTCTCCAGTTTTAGTAAATCAACCCCCTTGAGCTCCCACCAGTGAAATTTCCAAGGAGTAAATTAGTTTCCACCCCACTCCACAAGGGTACAACAGCAGCATTTACTAAGCTGTAAACTAAGTGAATAGGAATGCACAACAAAATGTTTTCACTGTTTTAATAAAAGGAACTGTTTTGATTTTACGGAAAGTGCTATGGTCTCTGTCTGTATTCTGTTTTGGAGCTGAAGTCCACCGGAAGCCTAGATTTACTGAGTGATAGGTCTCTGCAATATTAATCCTGTTGGGGGCAAAAAGCTACAGATCTTATTTGTTCTTCATCCCATGCGACAGTGCAAAAAAAAAAAAAAAAAACAATTAAAAGCACCCCTATCCCCCCATGTTCACACGCAAATGCGAATGCGCAATTAGGTCTTGCATGCACATGTAAACAGTGATTGCACCACACATGTGAGGCATTGCTATGAATGTCAGAGTGAGAGCAATAGTTCTAGCTCTACCTAAACTCTAAACTATTAACCTGTAAATGCTATTAATGCATTGCCTATAGATAATTTAATGTACCGTAGTTTGTTGCCGTTCCATGGGCACAGGCAATTTAAAACTGTGATCCGTTCAGTAACTATTTACTGGATGTAAACATCATCTTTTATATTTAACAAAAAAATGGGTATTATATTGTGTTTAGTGCACTAAAATTCATTGTGTATTTTTTTCCCCAAAAAAATTGCATTTATTAAACTGCGCAAACATCATGTGACATAAAAAATTGCAACAACTACCATTTTATTCTCCAGGGCCTTGGATTAAAAATATATAACATTTGAGGGTTCTAAGTCATTTTCTAGAAACAAAATGCTGTTTTTTGTACGTGTGTGAGAAATGTCAGAATTGGCCAGGTTTTGAAGTGGTTAAAATCCATATCAGACCTAAAGGGCCTGGTATGAATTTTAGGGGAAACCTACCCAGCTGATAGCTGAATGTGTTCATAAGGTGAGTCACTGGTTGTTACAGCAGATACTGGCTCTGTAACAACCAGGAGGAAGCTGCCACATTTGGGTTTCCCTACATGCAGTAAATGAACCAAATAACATTTTGTGGGGCGCTGAGCTTTGTGCATCCTGTGATCATCTTTGAGGTCCCATTAACAAAAAACAGCACTACAAGCACAATGTGCATTTTTCACGTGTTCCATGAAAAAAATGTGCTTTTGCACATTCACGGAATGCTTAGATGTGAATGGAGTTTTTGGAGTTGAAAAACATTTTTTTGTTGACTGGCATAGGTTATTTATTTTTGGAATCAGTACATATAGTAGGGGTTATTTACTAAAATTGGAGAGTGCTAAATCTGTTACAGCTCTGCATAAAAACCAATCAGCTAACAGGTTTTATTGCCAAAACTTAATTGAACAAGCTGAAGTTAGAAGCCGACTGGCTACCATGCACAGCTGCACTAGATCCTGAGTGTGCCAGTTTTAGCAAATTCTCCCCCATGTGTAACAATAATCCCACACCTTTCATTTTGGATCCATGTTACTTGTTATAATTTAAAACACACGCACACACACATATATTTACCTTCCAACTGCTGCACCAACCAAATTAATAAAAACTGCAGATCACAAATGTAAAAACTACAATTACGTCTTTGCAGCACAGATGCCTGAATGGCTTTAGTAGGCAGTCAAGCATGATGAGACATGATTATTTAGCACCGCACGGAGCTTAGTGCCTGAATTAATTCTTATTAAAACAAGCTGACCTGGTCCTCCCAGGGCTTCACTGTTCTTGTTCTCTGTTTCAATCTCTTTCAGGACTTCACTGAGCGCTGCCCATTTAGGATTACTCTCTAAAACCAGCTCATTCTTTCCATCTGTAAATATAGAGAAAATATATATTAAAAAAAAAAAAAAAAGAGCAACTACCAGTGTTTAAAGGGTAACTGGAGTTTCCAAACAAAACCACATATATCACACCTTTTTCCTCTTCTTCAAGTCTGTAAATGCAATAACAGACCTCAAACGCAGACAAATATTTATTCTCCTTCTCTTGCAAAGCATTCCTTCCTTGGGTATAGACAATAAGGTAATTTTCAGGGTCAGTACAAGAATTAAGATGGTTAATGGCTGGGGCACAGTGACCAAAACTTTAGAAGCAATATTTAGCTTCTGGCTTCCTAGTTCTCTCTTTTGCCTCCCCGCCTCAGCAGAATTGGTATTTGGAATGTTGTGCAGAAAATGCAAGGTAAATGCTGTCTAATGGCTACGTTTTGGGATAGGTTTTGTGTGTCAGGCTCAGGCTAATGCCTGGTACACACCATCAGTTTGTCTGGTTTTTTTTTTGTTCAACCCAGAAGGCTGAATGCAAAAAAACTGAAGGGCTTGGGAGGAGCTTGCTGTAATAACTATCCGATGTTAGTACAGCAATCTCCCCGTTGAGCTAGTGTGTTCTGACACGGAGACTGCCCCCCACCAGAACACACCAGTCAGCTCACTGGATGCTGGCTTTCCAGCATGCCCCTTCAACAGAACCTGCCCGCTTGACTGGCTTGTGTCGGACAGGCTGGTGTACACACGGGCCGACTGTTGGCCAGTTTCTGTTGAACCAACCGATGTTTGGCCCGTGTTTGGGGCCTTAGGGTTTTTGTTGACACTAAATAAATTTGCCAAAGGCATACATAAAAACTAATATATCTTTTGGCTTCCATTCTGGAGACATAACAAGTACACTTTTCTACTGCAGAACCGATTATTTTTCAGCATGAGTCTGCAAGGTATATCAGTGCTTGTTTAAACAATATGGCAAAGCAGCTACTATCAATAGAATGAGAACTTATCTGCTTACCGCAGGCATCAGATAGATTTCAGTGAACCTGAAATGTTTTTTTTAAAGTACTATTCAGTCAACTGGAAATCTACCTTAAAGTGACACTAAACAATATACTTATTGTCCAAAAATAATCCATACCCATTCACTGCTTATTGACCCTGTAATCTATTTTTATGACATTATTTCTTACGGTGTTTTTCTGCCTCCTTGTAACATGATCGGTGAGCTTCGGTCTTGTGCACTGCTTTATGCATACTGCAAATCCCATAGTCCCCAGTCCATTTCAGGAACGAGCAAGAGAGGGTGGCTACATTTCCACTAACACACTAGATAAAAAAAAAACTTAAACAAAAAATATATTCTCTGCGGCTGAGCTCATGGACTTCTGGAGTATGGAGCACTGCAAGATGGGAAAAAGAACTGGTTTGAGATCTGTAACTGCAAACACAAATTTTATCAGGAGCGTACATGACATGGTTTTCTTCTACACCATATATTGAATTTAAAGATGATACACAAGATCCATTGTTGAAATGTATGCTTCCCTTATACCTGCATAGTCTGCTTAAGCATGTAGAACATACTGGAAGAATAAAGCAAAAATCTGTCTTATGTGTTCTATGTTTTTAACCACTTGCCTACAGGGCACTTTTACCCCATTCCTGCCCAGGCCAATTTTCAGCTTTCAGCGCTGTCGCACACTGAATGACAATTGCGCGGTCATGCAACACTTTATCCATATGACATTTTAGCATTTTTTGGAGACAGATCAAGCTTTCTTTTGGTGGTATTTAATCACCTCTGGGTTTTTTTTTTTTTTGCTAAACCAAAAACAGAAAATTAAAAAAAACGTTTTTTTCCCCTTAGTTTCTGTTATAAAATGTTGTAAATAAGTGATTTTTCCCCTTCACTGATGTGCGCTAATGCACACAGCTGATCACATGACAGAACCGATGTCTTTGGCTCTTTCCGTTGATCAGTGATCTGCTGACGTTCTCCAAGAACGAGAGGACTGCCTTGCTCTTTATATGGAGGGCTAAATAGGTTTATATAGTATGAGTTTACCATCATCAGTTTATTTACTTTTGCTTTCATAAGTGAAGGTGGAACTAAACCCTCCTATCCTTTTTAGCTAATGAAGCTGCCATCTTAGCCTCTGTTTGATCTGTAACTGCCATGGTGCTGCACATATGACATCATTTGATGGCTTGACAGTTTGGTTCAGAACACAAGCAAATGTGACAGTTAGGATTCCCGACATGCTGGGAATGTAACTTTTATTAAACAGTTAAATCAATGGGTTTAGTTCCGCTTTAAAGTGGAACTTTATTTGAAAAGGGGGGAACAGGCAGGAATTATAATGCAGAAGAGACATGCTTTGTCTGCATTAAAGTTACCTACTTGCCTGTTCGCTCCTGTACAGTGAGCCGTGCAGGCGCAGCTGACGTCACCAACTGCTGCTTCCCAGAATATCAGTGCACATTTAGGAGATATTCATTTAACCTACAGGTACGCTTTATTATAAGCTTACCTATAAGTTAAAATAAAAATTCAGAATTGAACACACCTTTAAAGTGGTATTAAACATGAAAGCAAACTTTTATTATATTTTCACCTGGTGATCCTGTCAGCAAGTCAGCTATTTTTCATACATCTTCTGTATCAGTTATGGGGATGAGGCAAACCAATTACCACTGACAGGGGTGCTTACATTTTTTATTTATTCGTGTAAAACCTTTATCCCAAAAGAAAAAAAAAATCTGTTTGCTGCAACTGCTTGTGTAACTGCAGCATGATCTGGAGTTTGGCTTCAGTTTTTTAGTATTTCTTAACCTGCTAGTCCATCCTCTCCCCCCAGACTGACAATGCTGCTATCTGCTGTGCCCCTGTGTTCATCCATCCAGAGTGGGGGTACTCAAATACAAGAGGTGTGTTACTGGCTGGGTGACCAGGTGAAAACAGAGGGGGGAAAAAAAAAAAGAAAAAAACTAATGCAGCCACCACATCTAATGATTGGTAAGCTGCAATATATTGCATTTTGTGGTTTGAGGATTAATCCTGCTTTAAGACACTATCTTACAATATCTTACAATGTCTCCCTGTAATAAAACAGGTAAATGTGTTGCTGTTAACATTGCAGTTAACTATTTTAATGGTGTAACAAACTAATATTACATGTATGCAGGGGTGGACTGACAACTCATGGGGCCCCCGGGCAATAGGGGATCATGGGGCCCGTGTCCTCACCCACACTCAAACCACACCCAAAAAAGCCTATGAAAGGTACCAGGGGCATCTCATGGGGCCTCCTACTGACCCTGGGCCCTCGAGCAGTGCCCGAGTTCTCGAATGGTCAGTCCACCCTGTGACGGTCACGGCGTCATACTCCCAGCCCTTCTCACCAACTCGTGACCGAAGGACTAGCCAATCTAAAACCGCGCTGTCACGTGCGTAACAATACCATGCTCAGCTGCACCCTGCACAAAGATTTTCCAGCTAATGGACCACAATCTATGTACCGCAGCCTGAGAGCGATTGTTACTTGGTCAGGTTAATTACGCAATTAACCCTTCACACTGCCACCACCGCCTTTTTGTACAGAGAGGGAGGAAATTTGCCAATATTAGCAATAACACTATGATGTTTGAATAATTGTCTGTATACACACTGTCAACGCAGGCAGATGTATATAGAGGTTTAAAACACACAGTAGCGCTCTTCAGAGACAGGGGTTCTTAGTTTGCAATAAAGAGCTTTAGAAACAGTTTTCAGAAAATAGAATTTATTACTAAAAAGGGTCAAAATGGTGCAATACAAATATTTACAGAAAAGATGTAGCCAACATATATATATATATATATATATATATATATATATACAGTCATGGCCGAAATTGTTGGCACCCTTGATATTTCTCCAGGAAATCATGTATTTCTCACGAAACGTATTGCATTAACACATGTTTTGCTATACACATGTTTATTCCCTTTGTGTGTATTGGGACAAAAACAAAAAAAGGGAGGAAAGAAAGCAAATTCGAGTCACACAAACCTCCAAAAATGGGCTGGACAAAAGTATTGGCACCCTTTCACAACTGCGGATAAATAAGAATGTTACAAGCATGTGATGCTCCTGTAAACTCACCTGGGGCAAGTAACAGGTGTGGGCAATATAGAAATCACACCTGAAAGCAGATAAAAAGGAGAGACGTTCACTTAACCTTTGCATTGTGTGTCTGTCTGTGCCACACTAAGCATGGACAACAGAAAGAGGAGACGAGCAAAACTGTCTGAGGACCTGAGAACCAAAATTGTGGCAAAATATCAACAATCTCAAGGTTACAAGTCCATCTCCAGAGAACTAGATTTGCCTTTGTCCACAGTGCGCAACATTATCAAGAAGTTTGCAACCCATGGCACTGTAGCTAATCTCCCTGGTCGTGGACGGATGAGGAAAATTGATGAAAGATTGCAACGCAGAATAGTCCGGATGGTGGATAAGCAGCCCCAAACATGTTCCAAAGACATTCAAGCTGTCCTGCAGGCTCAGGGAGCATCAGTGTCAGCGCGAACTATCCGTCGACATTTAAATGAAATGAAACGCTATGGCAGGAGACCCAGGAGGACCCCACTGCTGACACAGAGACATAAAAAAGCAAGACTACAGTTTGCCAAAATGTACTTGAGTAAGCCAAAAGCCTTCTGGGAAAAACGTCTTGTGGACAGATGAGACCAAGATAGAGCTTTTCGGTAAAGCACATCATTCTACTGTTTACCGAAAAACGGAATGAGGCCTACAAAGAACAAAACACAGTACCTACGGTAAAATATGGTGGAGGTTCAATGATGTTTTGGGGTTGTTTTGCTGCCTCTGGCACTGGGTGCCTTGACTGTGTGCAAGGCATCATGAAATCTGAGGATTACCAAAGGATTTTGGGTCGCACTGTAGGGCCCAGTGTCAGAAAGCTGGGTTTGCGTCCAAGATCCTGGGTCTTCCAGCAGGACAATGACCCCAAACATACGTCAAAAAGCACTCAGAAATGGAT